TACTATGCCCAGAACTCTGCTGCTTGAACTAATGGAGAGACCAATAATGACAAAAGATATGTACCCTCTCAGAGAGATACTATGCCAGGCCATGGCACAAATATTTGTGGAGCTGGGAGCCCAGATTTCATTCCTGGCGTGGGTGAGGACTGCTCAGGTGGGCAGAAGTTCTCCCACTCCTTTCACCAAAGCACAGCTCTTGTCGCCTCCCCCTCACCTAACCTCTTGCAGACTTTTATTCTCTCCATATCCCATTCATTCAGTTTGAGACTAGCATCCGGCACAGAAAGCTTTAGGACAATCCATTTCAGTGTTGCAAAGTTTAGCCAAGTAAAAACAGGGTTTGTGTAATGAGAAGTCTTTGGTGACTTTAGCACTGAACCGTGGCACCAGCCTATTACAACTTATCACAGGGACAGAGACTGCAAATACCTGCAGTGAACCTCTAAGCATATCCCATATAGAATTAAATCTTCCCAGAAGCCAGAGCCAAATCAGACTGAACTATGCATTTGTGCTGTTAATGAAATTGCTGTGTCTTTTCTACTGCTCAACTCAACCTCACCACTTATTGAGCATTACACATGGTTTACGCTATCTGTTATCATAAACATAGTATTTTAAATGTTTTTAGAACACATTCACAAACAAGTACTTCAGTCACTTCAGAGATTATGGGGCCTGGAGTTCTTTGCCAGCAGTTCTTAAGGCCCACAATCCATGCAAAACATCTCCTTTCTGATAGTTTTAATTCTAGCGCACATGGAAGTAATTAAATTTGGGGTTTTTCCAAGGCAGGAGGGAGTGAAAAAGAGGAACTAGAGTGACTTTCACCAAAACCAGCCAGCTCAAATCATACTGGGATTTGCAAGCTAATTTATTCGCTTCATGTTATCTCTCATTTTCATCCTTCTTAGCGCTTGCTTCTAACTGGAAGTAAAAATACAGGGACATACTTAAAGAAAAGTTCTTGTGAGACACCCGTTTTGCAGGCTCAGAGGAGTCAGAGAGTTTGAGTTAGGCTGAGATAAGGACTCAGAAGAATGAAGCCTTTCTGAAGCAAACTTTCTGAGGTTTTTCATGTTATAAAAAAGCATCTTAGCTGCAATCAGAGACATACAAGAGCAGGGACAGTCTCGTGACTAAGGGCTCCAGCCATCAGGCTTCTATTTTGGACTCCAGCAGAGTCCCTCCATCTGACCTTTGGCAACTCACTTAGCCTCTCCTCCATCAGTCGACTGTGTGTAAAATGGAGATAGCAGTATTTACTTTTCCTTCAAATATTGGTCTATGCTGTCTAGTCTTAATGTAGCCAGAATGGGGTTAGCTGCTTAATACAGAGAATTCTCTGTCTCTGTTGGGCCCCAAGACATTGTTACAACATTGAAAACATAATTAGTGAGTAGTGTTAGATATCGCAAACCTATTCCCTTCCTTGCCTCTTAAGGATTTTATTTACAACATGCTTTTAAGTAAAGAACTGTACTTAATAAAGCCATTCAATAGAGACTTTAGAAAGATGTATTTTAATTAAAAAGCTTTCGTGGAAAGAAATTCAAGCATGCTACTTTGAAGGAAAGATTTATGTTTAAATTGTCCTAATTTGATGCAGAAATTAAATATTAGCAGTGACTGAAGAACAAGAAAAAATGATTGCTAGTTTTTGATATTAAGAGAAATACTACTGTATCTGTAACTGAGCAGAGTATCTGACCGCTGTCATACATTTAAGTGGAACTTCTTTGAAAGACGTTTAAAAAAAAGTGCAGAAAAGCAAGGTTGCTGTGCACTAAAATGACAATTTCATATGCATGCTCTTGTCTCAAAGTGGTGGTTGCCAAAAAAATTAGAGAAGTTCCGGCCTGTGAATGCAGCAGTTAGAAGAGATCTGTGCAGATTTCCAACGCTCATTGAATTCATACCAAAATTCATTGAAACTTTTCTGTTCCAAACATTCTAAGTGCATTGGAAGTCAGTACAAGGTAACCAGCAGTTAAAACTAAATGGAGCTTAACAGAAAGTTTTCACACTTCCTCTTGATTTGACAGATGCTATGATACTCATTAGAGGAGAGACCGATATAAAGCTCTTGAAGACAGATGTGACAATGACAGATGTAGTTGGTGTTCCAATATACATAGTCAAAATTTTGGTGTGGGGATATTATGAAGTATAGTCATGAATTTCAGCTCCTACGGCCTGTTTTTAGACTGTATCCAAGTCAATAAGCTAAGACAGGAATCCATTTGAAAATGTAAAGTTGGAAAAATTAAGCCAATGCAAGTCTTTAAAAATATCGGTTTGCTTGTTTTAAAGCCAAGACCTTAAAACATCAAGACAGATTGCTCAGACCTCGTCACCAATTGCATGTTTCAAGATGAATTTCTGCATTAACTGTGGTGCATTTTCCACCCAGAGGTAATGAAGTAGGTTGATGCCACTGGCATAAAGAAAAAAAAAGCACATTGTTAGAGACCTCTAATTTACTGCCAGCTTCTCTGTATTGCAATGGAAATCTCTGCTGGTTGTTGAAAGCAATATGCACATCTCGTGGGAGCTGACAAAATAACCAAAATAAAAACAAGAAAATGAGACCTCAAAAGTTCTATCTAATGTCAAATTTTCTCTAGTTCTATGGTTTTTTTTCCTAAAGCATTTTAAACAAACATTTTGTTTTGACAGACTAAGTAGCTTCAGTAAGAGAGAGTGTGCCCTACTCCCTCCTGCTGTACGACATGGTAGTTGGTGAACTTTCATAGGAGAAGAGCAGTGAAGATGTGACCCTTCTTGTTCTTGGGAGGGTCTAGAACACAACTAGTTACTAGACTACAGGCAAAAAACTTTGTACCTTCTGGGGAAAACAGTTTGCAGCACAGAAAGCTTGTGTAATCTCCAGTTTGCTTTGCAGAGCAATTTAGATATTGCCCCAAATTTACATTTTTCAAGAGGTATTTTTCTTTGTGAATCCCTTAGGATTAAGGGTAAAGCCTAAAAAACCCCTCATATAAAATCTCAACTTGTTTATGCTTTTACAGTAAAGTGTAAATCTAACATTGTGAGCTCATTTTGCCCTTAATAGTCTCTCCAGTGACAGCAGTTTAATCTGTAAAAGATTACTGAGACAGCTGAAATCTGCACTTTAAGCCATGCAAATCTAACAAGGCAGTTGCCACTCTGCGCGCTGGAGTGGAGTGAAAGGCTTTCATCTCCTTGCATCTGTTACTGCAGTATCCTCTTCCCTGGCTTTGACAAACACAATCTTGCCCTCTCCCTTACCTGTCTTATCCATTCAGAAAGCGTCTACGAGCAATGCCTTTCTAGACCAACAATTTGGTATCTTATCTTGCAGTCTATCTGTGCTGCTTCTTCCTATGCACTGTCCAGCCTTGGCTACTTATTTTCCTTTTTCAAGGCATCCCATTTTCTGTCCTACTTTGTTGACCTTTTTTCTAATCAATATCAAGAGATCAATAGGTTCCCAGTGCCAGCCTGCAACATGCACCCATGAAATTTCCAGCTACTGCACTTCTAAGTATGAAAGGTGACACACGGAGGGAACGCATAACAAATTGCCTCATTGACCCCCTTTGGATTATTTCTTAAAACTCTCCTTGCCCCAATAACTACAAAAAGTCACAGTTACTGTACTAAGTCCATTGTTTATTATGCTGACTAATGTGGTCTTTTGTTTCTTTGCACACACCTGACTCTCAGTTATCTCACTGTATACCTGGGTTATACAGTCTCTGAAGCAGGCTCTTTTTATTTAGCTCTGTTTCAAGCTTCTAGAACAATGGTTGTAGGCTCTGTAATCAGCAGTAGATTAATGCAACATTACAAAATATTTTCAGTTAGCAAAGCATGCTGCAAGAAAGCAACGTCTCTGAACGTTGAAATGCAAGAAATGAAGTCTCTGAAAAGTAAAGGCCTTGCTATTTTTCAGTAATACTTCTCTTTACAATACTAGAGAGCAAAACCAAAATACTCCATTTTCCACAGCAGGTATTTAGAGAAGAGATGAAAATGAGAATTGAGAAGGGCATCACTCCACGCTCAGGAAACAACCCAATAAAGTAAAAAAAAAACAATAAAAGTGAATGTGTTACTCTGCTGCTCACAAATTTACCAGCTGTTGGATATCATGACCATGATTCGGCTCACAACTGTCTCATATGTGTTTTTAATAGAAGCAGACCATCTGTCTATATGGAAGAACATAATTGATTTCTTTATTTATAAGGAAAGGCATATTTGTAATCGAAGATTTAAATACACTGAACTTTGCAAGGTACACCATGTAGTTCTATTATTATGCTTTCAGATTCCATTTTTTAAGTCTAATGCATTAGGAAAAATCCTTCTGACTTTCTGATGATGCATTTAGATGAATAAAGGGAGCCATGAGGGATAGCTGGAGGCCTGAGAACTAGAGAACACTCTATGCTTTTGTGAATACTTACATTTAATTAAAGAGCACCATATGCCATCACAAGTATTGCTGGCTGGGCAACATCCCTTCTAACAGATGTGATTACAGACATAGGGTAAATATTATGTAGGAAGACATAATAGTAACACAGTCCGTTGGGAAAGGAGAAACCTAGTAACATGAAAACTACTCTAAGCAGCAGTGTGCTATTTGGCAAGGACAGAGGCTTGCTCTGGAAAACATCTACCCTTCAGTCTTGCAAAAAAGAGCTCACAAGCTATCCAAGGTCTACCTGTTAGACTCATCTTGAAAATATACATTGTCCCCCTTTAAAGCACACAAACACACTGTGGACTTTGCATGTTATCTCAGAATGAAATTAGGCAGACATACAACTGATTGCTAGTGCAAAACAATCTGTATCAGATGCTTCCAACCCACTCACTTTTACCCTTGTATCCCATGCACATGCCCAGCTGGTTCCCATATCCGTCAGCAATAATAAAGCCCCTGCCAGCAACCAGCCCATGCACCAGGGATGCAGGCAGAGAAAGCTGCACCAGGCAATCACCTTTCCCAAGCAGGCAGCAACCAAACAGCACATAAGAGAGCACTAGGTTTTTCCAAAGTCTGCTGGGAGTGGTATAAAGACAGCTATCTCAGTATCAGGAGAGCCATTCCTCTGATTACTGGTACTTTCCTTCCTTCCACTGCAGCAGCTCAGGGAATGGACAACAGCCAAACAATTTATCTGAAAAACAAGAGGATGAGAATACAGTAAAGGAAAGTGAAACAAAAAGGAAAAAGGTGAGTGGGAAAGAAGTGAGAATGAAATTGTGCTGTGCAGTTAAGAGCTGTCTGAGTTTTAATGTTAAATCTTATGTGAATGGGAGAGTGAGTATTGTTGTGTGGAGAAACTATGTGCTAATGGAAAACAGGAAAGGCATATAATGACCATTAAATCCTTGCTTATTTGTTTTTATTTTTATAGTATATATCATATAAAATAATATATATTTGGCTCACTTGTATTATTAGTACAGTTTAATAACATGGATAAAATAACTTCAAATTCACATCAGTTACTGTAAGACAAAATAACTATTCACTGAACCAATGCAGGCTAAAACAGACTTGAGCTACAAGGTTCAGAGATTGTCAGTTGCAACTGCCAAGATGCAATATTGGCTGAGCATAATTAGTCTTTCCTGTTGGCATGGAAACATGCTTTCAGCTGCTTTTGGCTATAGCCAATTAGGGTCCAGGCCAGTTAAGGCAGTAGGCAATCCCCCATTAATGTCAATGGGCTAGCCTGCAGCTTTAGAAAATGGTTGTAGTTCAGCTAGTATATGTTTGACAAGAAATTAAGCTGGAGGAGGATGTCAGAACTGCATCTATCCAGAGAGATGAGTGGATAAGATCTACTAACTTTCTGTTGAGAAAGGCGATGCTCTGCTGTTTTGACTGATGTCATTGCAGAATTTCCAGCTCTGAAAGCATCCTTCCTCAACAATACTGTATTTGTCAGAAACAAGCTATAAGAAGTCCTTTCATCTCCTTCTCTGAAAGGATCAGTTGTCTCATGTAGAGGAAAGAAAGTACTGATGCAGCATGTCTTGACATTAGTAAGTCTTTAATACAGTCACAGTTCCTGTGCTTGCAAAAGAGCTGGGAAGAAAGCCTATATGAAAGCCTATAAGGTGGTTGCACATGAATATGTTAGCCTCTCTGTTTCAAATGGAGGTCATTCAAGTCATATCACACAGAAGTCTGTCCCAATACTAATTCTATTGCACATCTTTAACAATGACTTGGGTGATGGGTTAGTGTATAGGTCATACCAAGATGAGAAGAACGGCATACATATGGAAGACAGGATTAGCATTTAACATGAACAATTGGAAGAACAGTCTAACAATGATAAAACCAAAATCAAAAGTACAAAGGACCATGCTAAGAAGCAAAACTCAAAGGAGCCCATACTAAATGGGGAATAGTTAAGCTATGTTCTAGTACTGAGGTTTATTGTGGCTCAAAAACTAAAAAGAGTCCAAAGACATACTGCTGCAGAAAAGGCTCTTCTGAAAATTTACCAGCATCGCTTTTACCTCCCCTCACATATCAGGGTAGTGACCGTGGTTCTTCTTCCACTCTTTCTGCTCAATTGTTTCTCTAGAGGTCTTCCTTCTAGAGGAATTCCTTCTCAAAGGGTTGTAGGGAAACCCAGACCTACCAATTCCTTCCAATCATAGCAAGAATTTTTCCAGGAACTTATACAAGTTGGGCTTTCTGCAAGACTCCTACTATTTCCTTAGACTGCCTCCCATTCAGCCTCTTCTTGAGAATGCTAGTTCTCTTCCATTTGCGTGGGACTAGTCCAGTTACCAAGGTATTCCTCCTCTTTCTGAGGCGTCTCTGAAGACAAATGCGCTCTTTTATCTGGGTGTAAGCAATGGAACAACAATTTAAGTGCTTCTAGCAGCTCCTTAGTATCCAGGCCACTTCCTTCTTGTGGGATCAACCTGCCCGTTCTCTTTCTTAGCCAGACTTCTATTACTGGGCTTGTCCCTTCTGAAGGCCAACACTTACCAGATGTAGCAGGTGAAACTAAATGAACACTTTTGGCCAAACAGAGACCTATATTAGCAAAAAACATTGTAAGATAGAAAGAATGACTGTACTCTGCACAATGCTGCAGGCTACCAGCTGGAGTTTGAGTACTTCATTCTCAGAAAGATATGGAGAGTCTGGGCAGAATTCAGAGAAGAAAATCACAGCTATAAAAAGTTTGCAAACATGAGGTATACAGACAGGGCAAAAGAACTGGCTTTTCTGAAAATGGAACGAAAGCAGATATAAAGCAGACTACAGAGTTACAGAGTCTGTCAAAAGGGGATGGTCATAGACTGTTGTTGAAAGGTAGAACAATAATTGGCAGTAAGGAAAATTTAGGGTAGCTATTAGGAAAGTCTCACTACACCACTCTCTACATGGTAACCAGAGAGGGCAATAACTCAGGTGGTTATTGGATCCTCTCTATTAGAGCATTTTGAGAACGGGCTATTTTGACATGTTAGGACACATGTTCCCAAGCCTCTCCTAGAGGAGGGGTACTGGCTAGATAGTTTCTTGAGAGCAATTCCAGCTCTGTATTTCTTTTATTTCATAATATAACTCCCAAACGCTGACAACCATGATTAGGGTGAGAATTGTAGTTGTTTAGAGATTGTACCGAAGTGAACATCAGAGTGCAGTGTCTTTGAGTGACAATGTCCATGCAGTCTTGGGGAAGGAAAAGATAAGGGAAGAAACATTTTTGGGCAGAGAAAATAAACAATTCACCAAGGAAAAAGAGCATACATTTAATGGAGCAAGTTAACACACAAACTAAATGTCTTCCTCTTCCCTTCCACACAAACAAACTAGGAATTTATAAACAGGAAAGAGTACTCCATATTCACTGAGACAACAAGCCAAGAACAAGGTAGTAGTATTACCTTTTAAGAGCGTTTTAAAATAAGCCTAGTTTTTCCAAGTAAAATTCCTTTATAAAGTGTGCTGCTGGCCTGAAAGCTTGTCAGTACACTGTGACCTTTTATAAAGGTACAGCAAATTACCTCAATTAAGTCTTTTTTAGCCTGACAGTGCTGACTTGCTTTTGTTAAACCCAATCACTGCTGACTGGGAACATGCTGTTTACCTAAATGTCCTTAAGTTATACTGGAATACTGCTTATATCTGAGCAGGAGTAGTCCACCTGCATTAGTTTTAGTGTTACTTCTAGTAAAGACAAATTGTGTCCAGAGCAGTGTAGATAGAGTACTTAAAACTTGCTTTAGCAATTAACTCTGACAGCTTTGGTAACTAGTGTTTAAACTTGGTTTTCTTACTCCCAGCAAGCAGAGCTGGCTTAATGCAAGCAGCATATATATTCCTCACCCTACTACGGCAGGTTATTGGCACCATTCTCTTTCCCCTTCTTCACCTGAGCTGGTAGTGAACACATCCAAGCTCTGTTACTATCTGGAGAAATAAATTATTTCTGAGAAACAGGCCTCAGTTTAGCAATCAAACATCAGAAGGACTTTTCTTTGCTTAGAATTGCAACTTCCCAACAGCCAACATCATTGCCATCATCTCAGGCTTCCTCTCAGGCCTGAGTCACCAAGACTTCTACTCTTTCTCCTTGGATTACCTTCTGTCTTCACTTCTTTCTTTGTCCTCACACACGCAGACAGTCCCATCAAACTACATCAATTCCTTTCATTTGTGTCCCAGAGAAAACCCCTCATACCTCCTGGTCAATGCCCCATCCCACCTGTTCCACAATGATGTGTGATATGACAAATGTTTCTTCATTGTTTAGCTATTACCACATAGACAGAAGATACATTGTCTCCATCACTCTGATTACAAGGAATTCATCTCTGAGTCTGACCAGCTTCAGAGAAATCTGCCTGCCCACTGCAGGTTTTCTGTGTACCTTGCATCATGGGGACCTCAGGAAATGCTTAGAAAATAAAGAAGCTGTTTCCTTGCTGTGAATTTTTTTTAACACAAGATAAAATCCTAATTCCACAGCTGAAAAATGGGAATTCCTAATCCCTGCATTCCCAGGAGCTGTTGAAGTCCCTAACACATCTAGGACAGCGCTTTACAGAGTGCTTTGGGAACCCTTAGACAGAAAGCCCTATTACAACTTCAAATGCTGGTATTATGACTCTCTGCCAAATGCACAAATAAGGACTGCAGAAATGTAAGAACACATCTCTGATGTTATTGCTTGTAACCCATTATTTGAGTACCCCTGAGTGCAGTGTGCTTCTTCAGATCTACTGATTGAAGAAGATTGCTAGATAATAAATGCTGTTGGAAGCCATTGAAAAATCAGCAGGTTGCTGTCACACGACTAACTGTAAGTGAAGACAGATAATGCTACCAGGAGAAAAACAGCAAGAATGGAAGAAACAGTGTGTGAGAGAGAGATCACTGCAGGTGATGGTGGAAGAAAATGAATCAGAGAACTTAAATGTGTATTTTTTGCTAATTTCTCCTTTGCCTTTCAGTATACAAGAGAAGACACATGCTGTAACATAATTTTGATGATTGTAGATCTGCAGATGCCATGTTGTTTCTGCTGCTGTAAACAGTAAGACTGTCCAGACACTCAAGACTGATAAATCATAGTCTTCAGATCCATGCATGCACATACACATACACAGAAAATATCACCAGGTAGGCTAGGCTATGGATTTGCAACTACTTGTGGTTACTACTCAGGCATATGCTCACTAGAAGAGGGATTAGCCACTACCTGTTGACAGGGCTGGTAAAAGTTTGCACATGAGAACATACCCACAGAGTAGCCAAAGTACTAATAGTTCATACCCTTGCTTACTTCACATGCTGATATCTTCAATGCATAAGAACTGAAGCTTATTTGATAGCACACTGTGATTTAGAGTCCTCTGTATGTTTAGCACATTAAACGTGCCTGCAACTCTTCATGCCCATCCCATTTGTTTGATCTTTGTGACATCTGTGACCTCTGTTTCTCTGAAGAGTCAAAGTACTCAATGTATTCTTAAAATAAAGATCAGATGTCCTTAACAGGGTACACCCTGACCAAGCTACTGCAGCAAAGCTAAATGAATTCCTTTTATAAGTATTCACTGTAGAAGAAACTGGGGAGATTCCCATGCTGGAAGAGAAGAGGTGGAGAAGAAGAGGTCAGCAGGTGTCTGAAATTTT